CATGGGGGTGCCTTGGTGTCCCCATACCTTGATCCCTGGAGAACAGGAGAGGCTGGAGAGAGGGAGGAGATGTGAGAGTCCCGAGAGCCTGGAGAGGGGGGAGCTCGGGCCCCCTGTGCCGAGCCAGCAGTCGGGGCTGTGCTGTTGGTGCCAAATTGCCCCTGGTCAGGCTGAACCCAGAGCCCGCCCACGTGTCAGGGGGCCCGATCTGCTCCCTGCTCTCGTTGCCCTGGGGCAGCCTCTGGTGTCCCCCCACGTGTGGGGCTGTTTGGTTGCCTTGGGATTGCCTAAGAGCCCTTGGGGGCTCTTGGGGGTGGGCGGGAGGTGTTTTTTTGGGGTGCTGGGCTGGGTTGGGGGCAGAGCCCTGGCGGTGGGTGGGGGGATGCGGGTCCCCCCCATGGTGTCCCCCGCGGTGGGGGTTGGTGTTGCTGGGTCAGGCCCCGCCGGCTCCATTGTCAGCCCGGTGCCGGCGGGGGGGACACAGCGGTTTTGGGGCCCCCCAGGAGTGCCGGGGGTGGGTGTGGAGCCCGGGAGCTGCCGAGTGTGGAGGGCGGAGCAGGGCAATACCGGAGCTGGGGGACCCCCGGCAGCCTGGAGGGGGGAGCATGGAGAGGGAGGAGCCCCGGGATCCTGAAACGGGGGGCCACAGAGAAGGGGAAGCCTGGACAGTGGGGACTCGTGGAATCCCCGGGACAACAGAGTGGAGAACCTGGATAGGGGGAATGTCTGGGAACATGGCACCCAAAGGAGAGAGTTAGAGAAGGGACCCTTGGGACCCCCAGCACTCCCAGCATCCCTAAGTGCGACCTCCAGCATCCCAGACAGGGGAGACCCTCCAAACCAAGAGGGGAGAGACCAGAGACGGGAAACTTCTGTGAGAGTTTTTTTGGACTGAATCTTCATAGTTTGGAATATTTTTTGGCTGAATCTCAACTTTTTGCAGTTTGGGGGAGGTTCATCTCGCTCTTTCGGGGGGGTTTGTTGCCTAAATCTCAGTGGTTTGGGTTTTTCTGGGCTGAATCTTGGTGTTTTGGAGGTTTTTATGGTCACAGGATGCCCGGTAAGTTCTAGAAATGGACTTGGGCAGGAGGAACCCTCAAGCCAACGCGCTCAGCCCTTGTTTTCTCCCCCAGCAGAATTTCTTCTTCCCAAAGCTTGGGCAGATGGAGGAGGAGGCTGCAAGGAAGAGGAAGATGCCTTGGGCCCCCCAGGCAGGTGAGGAGGAAGTCAGTGGCCCTTTGGGCGGGTGTTGTGCTGGCTCTGGCAGCCGAGCATGGCCCCCGGCTGCAGGACAACCCCGCTGCCGCCGCCGTCCTGCCGGGGCCGGAGTTGGGGGGATGTCCTTGGCCTTCCCTGTGGGCCGGAGGCAAATCCCCTCCCTGTCCTTCTTGCTTCCTGCCCCAGGCCCCGAGCTGAGGACGGAGAGCCCGGAGGACAAATCCCCGCGGCAGAGCCTGGTGGGAGAGGCCGTTTTGAAGGGCTCCCCGGCGCAGGAAGGCAGCGGGGAGGAAAAGGGCCAGAGATCCTCCCGCAGGAGGGGCTCCAAAGCCAGCCCAGGGTGCTCTGAGGAGGAAAGAGGCAGCCTGTGCCAGGAAGGCGGCCGGAGCTTGAGGGGGAGCTTGGACCTGGTGGTCCCTGAGCAGCCTCCCAGCAGGCAGAAGCCCTTCCGGTGCTTGGAATGTGGGAAGAGCTTCAGGAAGAGCTCCAACCTCCTCACCCACCAGCGCATCCACACTGGGGAACGGCCATACCCATGTCAGGAATGTGGGAAGAGTTTCAGGGACAGCTCCACCTTTATCCGACACCAGCACATCCACACTGGGGAACGTCCCTACACATGTCGGGAATGTGGGAAGAGCTTCAGGTACAGCTCCAACCTCCGCACCCACCAGCGTATCCACACCAGAAAACGGCCTTACAAGTGCTTGGAATGTGGGAAGAGCTTCAACCTGAGCTCCAACCTCCTCAGCCACCAGCACATCCACACTGGGGAATGTCCCTACTCATGTAGCAATTGTGGGAAGAGTTTCAGTAACAGCTCCTCCCTGATCAAACACCAGCGCATCCACACTGGGGAATGGCCATACCCATGTCAGGAATGTGGGAAGAGTTTCAGGGACAGCTCCACCTTGATCCGACACCAGCACATCCACACTGGGGAACGTCCCTACACGTGTCGGGAATGTGGGAAGAGCTTCAGGTACAGCTCCAACCTCCGCACCCACCAGGGCATCCACACCAGAAAACGGCCTTACAAGTGCTTGGAATGTGGGAAGAGGTTTCAGCGCAGCTCAACTCTTCTCAGGCATGAGCAGACACACACGGATGAGAGGCCCTTCCGCTGCACCGACTGCGGGAAGGACTTCAAGCAGAACGGCAACCTCATCAGACACCGGCGCATCCACACGGGGGAGAGGCCCTACAAGTGTGAGGAGTGTGGGAAGAGCTTCACTGACAGGTCTGGCTTGACCAAACACCAACGGACCCACCAGTAAGCGAAGCCCTTTGACTGCCCCAACTGCAGGAAGAGCTTCAGCCACTGCTTTCACCCCGAATGAAGCCCCTGATGGTGAGACAACCCCTGGAGTCCAGTGACTGTCAGTCCATCCCTTTCGACCAGAAAGGGCCAGTCCCCTTTCCCAGGGGCAGCTTCTTCCAACAGAACCCTTCTTGGGGGGTGTGTGGAGATTCCTGCCTTGGCTGGGGACCCCCCAAGGTCAGTCCTGGAGGTTGAGAGCAGAGATCTCCCCACGAGCATTGGTCTGGGGGAGTTCCATCCATCTCTAATTAAGAATTCTTGCTTTTGTGCCAGCTTGAGTAGAATTACTTCAACAACTGCTTTAGTGTAGAGCACTGTCCTACCTTATCCTGTACTGCTGGTAGTTTTAATGTTTCTATTGTGCAGTAAATAATTCTGATGAAGATCTTTTGTCTGATCACTTGTAACCCTAAATAATTCCTTTCTATCAATAGATCTGCTTTGGCATCATTAAAACCTGGGGAACAAAAGTGGTTCAGTCACACCTCTGTAATTCCTCTAAACCGAAAGTGTTGGCATAATGCAAGGCTGAGATTGGATCCAGCAGCCTCCAGCACCCCACAGTAAGTTGGGAGCTCAGGGGGTGTGGTGGTTTGAAACTCCCAGGAATCCAATTTCTAAATTCAAGCCCCCCTCCCACAATTTGCCCCTGTGAGAAGGTTTAGTGATGGTATGGACTTGATACCTTTTTCACTTCATGTGGAGAGTTTTCAGACAAAACACAACCATTCGTTATTGGGGGAAGGGTAAAATATTTACAAAGGTTTATTTACACCCACATATATATTTAGATTAAATTAAATTTCTCCTTTTCTTCAATAAAAGTCCAAGAAGAAAAGAGAAAAGTCTTTCTGTCAGTTCTCAGGCCACAGTTCCTTCATTTCAGTTTTTTTGTGGCACTGGTTAGTGTCCTCCATTTTTTCCAAGGCAGCAGATTTAAGTATGGCAGTCAAGATTTTGGTTCTTACTTTATGGAAATTTCAACCCCAAGCCCAAGCCTTCGGGGTATTTCCTTGTACATCTGCACTCCTCTTGGGCTAGAACATTGAAGGCAGCTTTCAGTTCAGTCTTACCAAAGCTCTTTTGCTCTGTCTCAGCTCACCAGCATGATAGAAGCAGCAGCAGCAGCAGCAGAGGGCACGGGCACCTGCCCCACATTCCGTCCTGGCTCAGCTCTCAGGACGACTCTGGGTTTTTCAGCTCCTTTCTTTCTTTCTCTCTAGCTGCTGCTGCATTTTGGGACTCCCTAAGGGTTTGGAAGTCCACCCCTCCTCAGGAAGTCTCTGGGTTTTTGGAAAGTAATACAGTCTTACCCCAAACCAGCTCTGTTGAGTTTTCCTCTGTTTTGTTGCCAGCTCTCCCTCCTGCAGGAACATCTCTGCGTCTCTTAGCTGGCTTCACGTTATCTCGCTGCTCCTGGCTATCTTTTTGGCTTTCAGTCATCGCTGTATTTGTTCAGGGCTGCTCCGCTGCCGCTTTTCAATGTCTTCTGCTGCTGCTGACAGTAAGGAAACTCTTCCAGCTCCTGATTACGGGACCCGGTCCAGCTTTGACACTACACCGGGTCTCCCGTAGCATCAACTGGGGGCTGGGGGCCCTTGGCCCCCAGAGGGGCTCACTGGCCCCCTGCTTCCTTCTGGCTCAAATCATGGCTACCTAACCTCTAAACTACTTCACCCCCTTCTCTTCCGTTGCTGTGGGTATGTAATTTCCGTAGGGCGCATGTGAACCTTTGATTGGTCCAGTATTATCAGCGGGGCAAACTGTTACTGCCCCAGAGAAAAGGTTTTTTGAACAACCACAACCCCACAGTGCAGACCAACCCATGTGCTTTGGGTCAGTTTGTTATCCTACCCATTCCGGCCTATCCTCTCCGTTCCGGAATAGCCCCCTGGGGTGGCTTGAGACCCCTAAAAATCCAATTCTTTAGTCCAAGCCCCCTCCCACAACTCACCCCAGTGGGAGAGGGCTTTTCCAGACACAACACAAGACTCAAGATGGGGGGAAGGGAATTCTATTACAATTAGGACACAAAGAAATATTAGAATACATTCTAGACACAATCCTAACTCTCTCTCCTGTGATCAACCAGGATTTACAATGGATCAAATCTCTTCTCCCTCCAAGAAAAGTCCAGATGGGAAAAAGGAAAGATCCTTTCCACTCTCAGGGCAGCAGTCTCTCTTCTTCCATGCAGCAGTCCGAGCTGAAGTTGGAGCTGGATCTCTTTCCATTCCACACAAGGGGGGGTCTCCTCTCACCTCTCTCAGCCCTTCGGCTCCAAGCCAAGGTCTCTCTCCTGTGCACTGCCATTGCTGGGACAAAAGATCGCCTCACCACGTCATCTCATGGGGTGGAAGACCCCCAGGAAGGTCCCTTCCTTGAGGGCTTGAGTTCCCTCAATGAGTCAGAAGGTTAGGGCAGCTTTCAGGTGAAAGTCTTGGCCTCAAGCATCCTCTCAGAGCTCCTTTGCTCTGTCTCAGCTTTGACTCCAGAAGACCTTGCAGAATCTTAATGGCCCCTGGATTCTGTGAGGTTCCACAAGGTCACAGTGGACCCTTGATTCCATGAGATTCCATAATGTCCCATTGGTTTCCTTTGGTTCCAAAGGTTCTGTGATGTCACACTGGCCCCTTGATTCCCTGACATTCCACAAAGTCCCGGGGTCCTTTTGATTCCATGAGGTTCTGCAGTGTCCCATGTTCCCTTTGGTTCCAGGAGGCCCCAGTGTATTCCAATGGCCCCTGGATTCCATGACATTCCACAGTGTCCTGGGGTTTGTTGCAGGATTCAAATTGTGAACAATTTCCATTGCATTTCTGTA